GATAATAAGGGTTGTTGCCACATTTAAGGGACGCCAAATAACCCCCCTCAAACCACCCCCTCCCCATACCTCAATCGATTCATTCGGACCCTCTGATTATTTCAATTATCCGATCTGATTATACAATTAAGGGATGAACATTCCCCAAAAATTGATTTCACCCCTAAGAAAAAAATTCTTTTTTCTTTTCCATCGCCTATGAAATATATATATATTTTTTTATTAGCAATCGAGCTACTATCAACGTAAATAAATTCTATAAAGCTTCAACCCTATTACCTCCGTTCCAACCGTGAATACCAGAGGATCCCCATGTTAATAATTTAAACGTGGATATTATCGATGGCCTATAACGTTACTCCACTTGTTTCCCGTTTCGCTTCGGCAATGCATTAGAGACACGCAATCCTCTCGTAAGGGCCCTATGGGATTTCTTGTTTCCTGCTTAGGAAGCTCGTAGCTATATACAATTTCTGAAATAACAGAAAATAACGTATAGCGTCGAGGACGTTAAGCGATCGGCAAAGTAGTTCACGAAGTGGCGATTGCGTAAAGAACTAATAATTCTTATAGGTTTGACTAGCAATGAAAATAAACTAGAACCATAACCCGTACATATATATATATATATATACATACGTTATATATACACAAAGCCGTGATGAAAAATAATTTTTTATAAAACTGATTTATGACTCTCTTCGCGGATATAAGCGATGCCAGGGAACTTTCCTTTTTTTTTTTTTTTCACGTAGAAAGGTATTTCTGTTCTACACGAGCTCTTTTGATTTTCACGTGCATTATACTATCTTGCAAAACCGTCATACGTATTATACCTGTGCCCACGATAACGGGTGAGCGTAACATTTTTACTACCCCTCCTTTCCCCCAATTAGCTAACTCTTGAGAAACGTTAAATGCGTCAAGGAAAAACAAGGCAACGTATATAATTAGTGTATACTAACTTGAGTGAAATCACTCCCCCCCGCCCCCGCCCCCCTGTAACCGTATATATGAATTAATTAAGTTTATGAAAATTCCGCTTTTAATTATAACCACTGAATTTCTGGTGCTTAACGACAATAGGGAAAGCTTATCGTTACACCTGCGGGTCAGTGGTAAAATAATGTATATAAAGAATAAATGAATTTTGTAATGAAACTTTGTTAATCCACCTCTGGTAATACGGCTATGTACTTTATATAGGTTATAACGGGTGGGCAATTAGTTCCGGAATCTGGATCTGGGTAATTATACAAAGCGGGCGACTCGAGTGTATCCAGAGCGCGAATGTAGGATTACGTCGGCATTCCGCATGACGGTTAATATTCGCCATTGCAGCTCGAGCAAGAACAATGCGAGGTGAGAGTTTGCAATTAGATGGGCGTTTCGTTCGTAGCGAAGCGTCGCGACGCCCAGCGGTGCACTAGAGACATTGTACCAGTGTACTATAGTCATACGTATACTTGAGCTGTGAAATTTTGTGAAATTATTGATATTTGGTATATATAATCAGTGTTATGAAATTTGATTGCTGGGAGAGTAAAGTTAAGGGAAAGGGGAGAAAAATGGAAATTTAAAAAAAAAAATTTGTTCCATCTACTCTCATCTAGTTCAGTGTGAATTCGTCTGGTTCGATTGATAAGCGTATAAGTGATAACAGAGCCAAAATAATTTTCCGCAACGCGTGCTGCTCTGATAGGATTATTATCATTATCGCTAACGCCCGCGTCAGCGACAACTACTGGTTTGAAATTTCGAGTTTCAAATTAGGAAAAATTTTTTGTACAAAAATTTTTGATAATTTTTTTTTCCAAAATCATTAAGCCTGACTTCACGCTGGTTACACCAGTCTGCCGACCGACAGGAGACTGTCGCACTTCTCGTATGGATATTTTATTAAGCGGGCTTTTTGGCTTTTAACATAACCTGTCCTGCGATACTCGGGGAATCCCCTGGAGTAAATGCTTTAAGAATGTATACTAATAAAATTTTCAATTTTTTTTTTTGGTTTTTTTTTTTCATTCGATCCAAACTTTTCTTGTCGTCCGAAACTAACAAAAATAATTAATTTAATTCAATTCTGCCTTCGTAATTTTTCTGCCGCTTATTGGAGGTCTCGTGTGTCTTCTTCGATAATTCTATCGATACCTCGACGCTAACGACTTACGATTATTACCAAAGTGAATGACAATGAATAACTGATGTGAATTAGATATGATAAATGACAGATTGAAATCGATCCTATAAGCGTTTAATCTAAATTGGAATATACTATCCGCCCACCCTCGCCCTTAGTCTTTTTCTGTATCTGTATCTCACGTGTACCGATATATCATACATAACTGAATTACGTATAGGTACGGCAACGGTATATCTATACTCTGGTGTACGTCAACCGGAAGCTATAAGTATACCATGGGACAGGATCTGACTTTTTTTTTTTGAAGCATAAAAAAACAAGCATACCCTGCCGGAGCTTTTTCAAAGCACTCTTAAGCCTCGTTCACACCGAAGTGAAGCAGATCCCCCGCGTTCGAGTCTCATACGTTAATAAAGATAACCACCTCAGTTTTACCATGCATTTACTCAGTACACAAACAGAAATATATATATATATATACACACACATATAACGTAATGTAAACAGTGATAACAGACCCTTTCGGCATGGACTTTATTTAGTTTGTGAACGAGAGTGGGGCTTAAGACAAGTAGCTGCACGTGCGCGTCCACGTATCTGATATATTTCGAAATTTTTTTTGGATTTTCGAAAAATTTCTTATGGGAGGAAAAGAAGGTGGTCCCGGGTGGTTAAAGATAGTACCGTGCCTTATCTTGGTACGAGATAAGAAATCGCTTTGAACTCGCGTCTTTGTTTATCATGGGGTCAGATGTAATGGATTAGATACGAGTTGGAACTTTATTCGAGTAGGGAATATACATATACAATATATATATATGGACACAGCACGCAAGGCGCGTTAAGGCCCTTTGAAGTTCCAGGTAAAAATCGAAACCATCGAGATGTAAAAAGGTAGATCCTGTAGATCTTAGATCTACGAATACCCCTATGGGAGGCTGGATCGAGATCCGATTTCAAAATGGCCGCTTTCAATCTCGCCCAGAACATTGCTCTTGGCGCTCGTGAAACTTCAGAGACTTCATACCATATATATATATATATATTTGTGACGTCACTTTACCTCACGGTATCTTCATAGCTTTGTAATTTTTTTTTCTAATCCTATATGCCTACTGTGCATACGACACTATGGCGCACGCGAATCGCACCCAGTTAGACGTGCTGAAACGGATGGCGCACTAGTATACCCTGTAAATACAAGTAGGTTATTTAATCAGGATACGAAGGCGGAATCGTGAAAATCTGATTTCTTGAAGCATCCGTCGGGTACAGTCAATGCAAAAAGTAATGGGACAGTATTAAAAGTCAGTTGGCGCAACAGACATTCCATTTCGTAATAATGCAGTGAACTTTTATTCCCGAACGTCCTTGCCTTTTGCATTCGAGTTACGTGTGAGGATCGCGTGTGTATGAGAACATGTGTTATCGGGATTTATTATATCGGTGGGTGTCACTTTTCTGCTCCGAGCTCAGCCTTTCACTGTTTTGTCAATAGTATATATATACATATAATGCATATACATAGATATAAGCATATATTAATTTTTATGTAGATATGATATTTTTTATATATATATATACTAAAAACTCGAAATCCTTGTATATTCTCGAAATTTTGCAATTTGATAAAAAAAATTGGTCTCCTTTGGTTGACCGGTCAATATTTTATGATTTCCATTGGAACGAATATTTCCATGAATTCTTTTCTTTTGGCCTGATTTATGGCATTGAATAAATAATCGGGCTTTACGAACTTTTCGTACCGGCCCATTGAATCCTTATCGTGGTACATTGTATCGCATTGTTATTGCAAATGCGCGTGATTCATCAAGATTTTATAATGGGGATTCCGAGTGATAGCAGTAACTGTGTCGTGCTAACTGTACTGTATAGTAACTGTAAAAAGTCACGTTCTAGAAATTGTAATGTTTATTGTATATTAGTTTGAGTCTTCGATGGGGACTGTACGCAAGGAGCGGGGTGGGGGATGATGGTGGTGGGGGAAAATTTTAATTTTTGACTTTAAGTTCGATCTGGACGGAAATCGTTTGTCTGAAATTTTACTTGACCCTTTGACCCGTTAGGTACCTAAAGTGCCTCTAATTTCGATTTCTTAACGAAGGTCCTCCCCTGGTATTTGGAACAGCTTGTACGTGTACCGCTCCTTGCGTTATGCTAATGACGTTAATGGAAGTCTAGACCCTGGTTAATTAGGAAACAATTGTATGAATATGGTTTAAATGCGACGAGAAGTTTACGTGCTTTGAATTTACATGATAACAAATCCTTTTTCCCGTAACGATGTAAAACCAGTTTTATGAAATTTATTTTTTATTTAGTTAATTTTCATTCAATCCAATTTCGTACTTAAAACCTGCTTCTTCTTACAGTCGCATCGTTTACTGGTTAATTTTCAAAAAAATTTTTTTTTTTCTTATCGCACGTTAATAATTCGTTTGGTCATTGAGATAAAAAACTCGCACTTACAGTCACATACGATGCATTATTTATTTTACCACTTGTATTTTATGTATATATTATATATATTGGATACATACATACACGGTCCGTTTGATCGACATTAACGAAATCATGCATAAAAATCTGATCATCAAAGGTCATCGAGTCTGATCGATAATCATTTGAAGGAATCGATTGTGCGAGGTCTAAATCTTGTCACGTGTATCGCATATGCGGAATCGCATAAACGAGCGTGCACGGAAATACGAACTCGTTTACGTACATTTGTGTATAAGAGCACGTCACTCATTCGTCCATTTGTTTTTTTTCATTTTCAAATTCGTAGCTTTTTTTCAGTTGCTAGTCCCTACCCTCGTCCTGATTTATGTTACAGATCTCATCGATCCGTCCATCCGCCAGTCAGGAGGAAAAAGCACTGCCAGGTGTAGGTAGATAAAGAAATAAAAAAAAAAAAAAGTAAACACCAGTTAGTAATATCCGATGAAAAGATGTGGAGTAATGGGAAATCAAGAGAGAACGAGGACAGCAAGCACGGAGAGTACATCGCGAAAGCCCGGGAAATTTGAAAATTGTAAACGACCGTTAAAAGATTAACCCGAGCGCGTTACGTCGCGGCAGACGATCTTCCGGCATAACGGAAGTGCGAAGATGCTCGGCGTCAGTCAGCCAGGAAATCCGCCATCGAGTTTGCGTCACTCGGCGAGCTTCTCGTGTTTGCAGCGCGGCGCTGGCGAGGGTCACCGGGCGCGGACCTCGACCCTGCCCCAGCAGCCTAACCTACAATTGAGCAATCATCAGTACGGCGGATTGAGTTCCTTGCAGCAGCCGCCAGTTGGCGCTCAGAACAGCGAGACCCTAGAGTCGTCGCAGGACACGAACGATTACGGTTTTGTGAGGATCAGACCCCGACTTCGCAGTACCATAGCAGTTCTGCACGAGGAGGAGCACACTTCCGGTAGGAACTTCCGGGAGAGAGAGTGCGCCTTCAGCGATCGAGAAGGTTCGACGAACTTCCGCGAGTCCACCTCGTCCTTCAAGAAGGACCGGGCTAGTCAGGATGGCAGTTCGAAGAGCCGCGACCTGTCGAAAAATCAGAATCCACTGAGAGGAGCTTTGATACTGTTCACGACGTCGACGTCTTCCTGGTGGAAGACGCGGCAGAGGGAGGAACTGGCGACGAGCACCTCGACCTCGACCTCGTCCGGGGCCGCCGAGAGAAAGTGGCCGAGTTCGGCGCTGACGTCGCCGTCCAACGAAAGAAAGTGGCAGAACGCTTCGTCGATCGCTTCGCCATCTAGCGACCGGAAATGGTCGGTTAATTCGTCAGTGACGTCACCCGGGAACGATAGGAAATGGACAAGCTCCTCGGTCTCGTCCGGTTCGTCCTCCGCCGCGCAGGATCGCAAGTGGCGCTCTCTGGGCGCGCTGCTGCGCACCCCTACGGCTAACTCGCAAACTAATACCGGGCAGAACTCGTTCTCTCATAACATGAGCGCCTCTATGATCGAGAACAACGAATTTCGAGACGGTCTTACGAATTCGACTTCGAAGTCTATGCACTATCCACAGCCTACCTCGTATTCGGCTAGGGTGTTCAGGACTAGTCCCGAAGCTTACAGAGAGAATAGCGAATTCAAGCAAGAGAAATCGAAGGTTAGCCGGAGACTTTATCAAGAGCCGTCGGAAATTGAACGCGATGCCGAGGAACGTCACGGGACTGCCGCCAGGGGGCCGGACGACGAGTTGGGTTCTCGCGAGAGAAACCTGTCTTCGCACAGGGAAAAGCACAGAGGCGAGCACATCGTCGAGAGTCGTATGACCTCGACCAAGTCTAATAGAGCTCAGAGCTTCTATCTTCTTGATGATTTTTTGAGACCCCAACCTCAGCCTAAGTGCATACATCTTTATCTGTCCTCGCCGTATGCCAGGTCGGGTAATGATGCTTCTCGCTCTAGCGAGGTTGGAAGTAAACATCAAAGTCAAATGAACAATAGCAACATCACGCCGCCTCGTAGACACAACTCGAGTTCGGATAGTCTCGAAGTAGCTACCAGTCCACTGCCACCCCCGGTTCCACCGCCTCCACCTCAGATCAACAGGAGGGACAGGGACAGCAGGGATCGCACGGAAAATCTTCGCGAGAAGGATCTCGTCTGTCCTTGCAGAATGTGCTGGACCGCACTCCAGCAGAGGTCATATGTCGAGGAGGTAAGTCCTGAAAGGGATGTGTTTGATGAAAATGATTATAACAGACATGGTAATTATGCGGAGATGAGAAAAATATTTAGCGAATTTATTTTCTTCGGTTTTATCTTTTATGGACGCGACGCCGTTGGCTGGGCTGTTTTTAAAAATCTTTTTTCGCCAAGTGTAAACCGAGCAACGGTAGTTTTCATGAATGCAAAGGAGATACGTCGATCGCACGACTCCGGAGCATGTTGACTAGAAGTTTTTTTTTTTTTTTTTTTCGAGAGAGAGAGACCTGTTTCTTTTTAGCAGAAGTATAAAAAAAAAAGTGCTTCATGAATAGCCGTAGTTTAATTACCTTCTAGTGGTAAATTTTTGAGAGTAGTTGCCCAGAAAAAGTTTTTTCATTGCTCGCTGATTAATTTTCTCCCGCTTTGAATTACCATCGCTACGGCATATCCGACTGACTCTTCTCGTTTTCGTTTATCTCATATATTTTTTTTCTTAATCCTCCCGTTTTTTTTTTTTTTTTTCTCGTACAACGAAAAACCGTCGTGCCGCCCATATACTTTTACTTGACCAAAGTCCCGAGAGGCTCTTAGATTTTTCTCAAACGTGTATAGCTCTTAATATAAATTAACTTGCTGAAAAATTCACTTGAAAATATGCCACTTACGATACGAATTTTTTTTCATTTTTTTTTTTCGTTTTAATTCTAAATTAAAATCTAGTCAATTTCACATCCTACGAATGTAGCTTTAGGTCAGAAAAAAATGTCATATTACTAATTAAAAAAATTAACTTCAACAAATATTTCTCGCATTTAATTTGATTCTACCCCAACAGAACCCTTTTACCGGCATAGTTCGAACTCTAGTTTACGACCGTATTAGATGTTACGATCGCGAGCTCAGGACATTTGCGAAGTAACGGGTCCGCGATTCACAGAATGTGCAACTCACGAGTGCATTATCATAGCGTCATACGTTCCGATGAAATGGGTGAGCCCCACTAAGGTTCCCGGCTTACGAGTTACTTCACACAGGATCTAGGTAATACCTGTGTCGGAATATCGCCGATGGTTAAAACTTTTATTGGAAACCGTGCTTAAAGGATATCATTAAAGACGCCTGAGCCGTTGCGCAATGAGTTTGAAATCCTTGAGAAAATTCTAACAATAAACATCACCAACACAGTTCCATTCGAATGCCGTTATCGTACGGTCAACCGAGATTTTACAAATTTATCTGAAAAATGTATTTATAAAAAAAAAAATTTCCCCACGTAATAAAAAAAAAATTTTTTTTTCATCAAATATTCAAATTATAATCTTATCTTCGGTATACGGGTACTTTGCCCATTATTAATTACCACTATCCAATAAAAATCTCAGTAACTGGACACCGATACGAATAAGACCCTAAGGGCCTTATTAGTCCCATCGTACTTTGAACTTGTCGAAGGAAGTCGTATTTCCATCCATTCCATCCATCTGTTCTATTATTAGCACCGCTTTACGGTTTAACTGCTGTAGCGGTTCTAGTTGCCCGCAGGCCTTTATTCTATCTTTCAAATCTTTCTCAGTTTCTTTGGTCTTTTAAGTTTTCTTTAAATCGTCATCTCCCCGCCTCCCCCTCTCACCATTTTCATCCCACCCATCTTACATGATACCCGACTTGAAGTTGAAAAAAAAGTTGGATGAATTCAAATTCCAAAAAAAATTTCAATTTCTTTTTATTTCTCAAACACAATGGACCCACAAGCAACTTACTCTCATATAATCCATCCGGGATGCTGCTGATCTGTCTTATTAGTGCTTTTCTACGAAAATCTTCAAACCCATCTCCTACGTGACCAGAATATATATATATATATATTATATATATACAGTGTGTGTAATTCGTATGCGTTAAGAAAATGTATAGCCAAAGACCAGTGAAGGTATAAGGCCCAAAAGAGAAGCAGGATGATGCAGTGCGTTGTCAAAGAATGGTCCATCGATATCGGATGCTGGGATCTCTCGGTATTACAATAGGACCCGACCGTTACGTCTCCTGCCACTACGTCGTTAGAATTACTGTTTCCATTCTCGTTTCGTGCCTTCCCGACTTCAGATCGCACGACAGCAAAAGGATCTTCGGTTATACCCACAGCATCCTCAGCTGGTCCAGGATTGTCACGTTACGTAGTACTTTGTTCCCCCCCTTTTTTTTTGGTCTCCCATTCAAATGCATCGCCTTGGTATCTTACCTCTTGTACTTTTATACCTCGTATTTTCCTTTGTCCTCCTCTTACACTTGTTCCTCGTGATGCGTTTACGTGAGATACACGAAGATCATCCTACCTATTCGATCTGTACGAAGATACACGGAAACGCACGATCTTGTTCGGTGAATGTAATAACGTATGTGTATATATATGCATGCATATCATACGATGAGTAATGTACGTGATCTTGTATAGGAATACGTTGAACCTTGATTTCTTTGTAAGACATTGTATTGTATACATATGTATAGTGACGTGTGTGAATGCTGATGAGTAAGTCAGGTTCGACGAGTGAGGTCAAGGGTCATATGATCATTGATAATTAAGAATTTTTTGTAAATTGGACAAATATTTTTTATTTTCTTATACTTTTCGAAGTTCACGTTAAATTTGAGTTCGAGGTTCGTGGATCTGACGCTGGTGGCGCTGTAGGTTGAAAATGTGGAAAGATAAATGAAAAATTGCATATTCGATGAATCATAAAGTGGAATTTATTGGGATCAGATAATAGTATTTGGGGTTGTGGGCTTATCGTGTAGGGATTATTATTGGTTGGTTTCGTGTGGCGGGGATTTTTGAAAGAATCAGTTGGTGGGTAGATTTAGAGGCAGAAGGTATACAGAAATGTATGTTTCTGTCTTTCTTTATGTTTTCTCTCTCTCTCTCTCTCTCTCTCTCTCTCTCTCTCTCTCTCTCTCTCTCTCTCTCGGTCTTTGACAGGGATATCTCGCAGTGAGATCTTCGGCTTGGCCATGTTCGCCGGTGCGTCGAACCGGGGTGATTTATCATTATTGAAATAGGGCCCATTTGAGCCCTCGTTGCTTATTCTATGCGTCACGTTCAATGTCCGACGATTATTCTCAGCCGTGGGCCTTACTCCCGTATCCATTGACGAAAGTAGGCCTGTTTCCCAAGAAACTGATAAGCTTGTAAGCTCGTAAGGATCCTTGAAAAAAAAAAAAAAAATCATACAGCCGTAGAAGCATAATTTTTTTTCGCAAATTCGGGCTTTTATGTTAAAAAAAATTGTTTACAAATTTTGAAAATTTTTCGAAAGCTTTTCAATGAGAATTTTTCATTACCCCACTGTAACGAAGACAGGTATAAATACGGGTGTAAGGAGAACGACTAGTATATACCGGGTGGTACAGAAATTAAAATAAAAAATATACTATCGAGTTTGCATGTGCTTCTATTTGTATGTGCTTTGATATCTTCACTCTCTTAATTTGTGATAACGCGAAGTTTAATTATAACTGTATTTAACCTCTCGATTTCCGGGACTGCAGTGTATCTTATCTCTATATCTGTACACGCGAGCTGACACGTGGATCGTGCGCACGTGCAAAACTGAACTGTGGAAGAAACAAACAGCCGCGAAGACAGTTTCAAGATAAATGGAGGAGAAGAAGAAGAAGATCCGCCTGAAGTTGGTTAAGACACAGAAGAGTTGAATACCTGAGAAACTATATGTATAGATACACGTAAGTGGGGTTAGTGCGGGTAAGGTTGGGTTCGGGATGAATACGGGGAAGTGGATACGGGTAGGGAAAAGAATAGAAAGGAAAATGTGGGTGGTGAGAGAAAAAAAGAAGAATAAATACTTGAAGTTTCACGGGTGTCTTTGTACAGCGTGGCTAGAATATTCGGCAACCTATTTGTGGTCCAGCCGTCACGGAAATTGTTACGCCGGAGTCGAGAGATGAGTTCTCATTGGTGGATGCTGCGGTTGAGATGAATAGGAGTATGGACCCCATGCGATGGTTCAAGTCCGGGAACATTTCGAAAATACCACATGGGTATTATTCTACGTATCGCGTATACCGTTGACTGATGGGGAGGCCATTTTGGGCTCGGGGCTTGGGTCTGATTTTAACTGTGGTAACGTTTTCATTGAAAATATTGGACGGAGTGGGGCTGGTCTATTTTAGGGAACGGACCTCTCACGGAAATAACGCAATTTTCTAGGCATATACCGAAGTCCCTTTGAGACTTGCCGCACTTTCTTACTTTTTCTTCTTTTTCGTCTTGCGGACGCGGTTGGATGACGGTCTTCCGTATGGATTTAAAATATTATTTTTCTTGAGGTTTTCGGGTCCTTGTGTTGGCGATACACATTTGATCCTTGTTTGTACAACTGGCTGTGGAATGAAACAGGTATTTTCTTATGGGTGTCGCTTCTTCTTTTCATGGTAAACCCATGCGGTGATTCGAGGTGCTAAATGTCGGGTAATCGGAACGAGCAGGAAGTCCAAAACCATAATACCACAGAGGGTGGTAAAAAGGCTTGAGACAAGTTTTAAGTTTGGTAGACCTGCCCGACGAGGGCGACGGGGATAAAGGAAAGCTTCGGTGGGTTTTTGTTACGACGCGCCATCTTTTATGTGTCGCGTCGATAAAGTAGATTCCTGCAGATGTAGGTAATTTTGTTACCGACGGGTCTGTAACGCTTTTACCGACTGCGCCTACCTTGGTCGTTCAGTTGCCTAAAGATGGCAGCACAGTAGACGGAACGTTCTGTGTGGGCGAGGTCGTTGACGTACCGTTATTCGCGACATAAGATTTTATCGTAAATTAAAAATTATGACTTTTACTTACCAATATTTATTTATCGAACCACAAATAAAAATCAAGGATTATTTACGATTCCATTAAATTATAATATTCTCCGTAACAAAATCCTTAATTCGCACTCTGACTTTTTATAGTAAAATTGAAAAAGTATTAAATACCTACTTTTTTCATTTTTATCA